AATGTGACAGGTCGAAGTTGTTGTAAAACGAGTGAATGTCTGTTCCTAAATGTTTATCAACGCATGTACAGAGACATGTGTTCATGTCGGCATGTGTTGCATAGTGGAGAATGTAGTACCGTACTGATCAAAAGGGACTTACCATCTTGCAACGTTTTGTTCAGACGCCGCAAGGTGGATTTTTCACCTTTTTATAGGGTTTAGTGGGTGCGTGTATTCACTCAGGTTGGTCCATTTCCTTCATTTCAGGGGCATCCTCAACCTGCTCAATATAATACTCAATTTTCATAAGGAAATTAATCAACGCATTTCTGTTGGTTGTGGTTCTTTTCCACCGGTAGTGGATGTCATCAGTACTCTGTCAATGAAGGTTCTATGTTATGTTTTGATTTAATGGGTTTCCAAACGCATATATCATAGTACATTGTGATAACTAGAAAAATTGAATTGAGAAAAAAATTATATACTAAATATTGCCACATTTTAATACGTCTGTATAACCCTTAAAACAAACAGGAATTCTTTTAAATTTCTCCTGGATGATTTCCTCCTCCAAGGGCTTGCCTGTAAATGGTTGCTTTTTCGAAGCCACGATATCTACCCTGCTATATCCGGCGGCAGGGAATTGTCAGTGACAGTTTGAAATGATACTGATAACTCAGCACCAGCTGCCATCTGTATGTTGGTTTTCATCTGTTATACAAAATTATTGATTTTAGAGTATGTTTGAAGGTGGTTGATTTACATACAACAACTGGGGCTGAAGCCTACTTGGAGATCAAAGGATCTGATGCAAGTGATCCCCATCAGGTGGTCACACCTGGGTATTAATGGGTCCAAAAGGTATTTCATATGTTGTGATATATCAACTTTTGATAAATCGAAAACATATTACGTAGGTTTAATGAACCCCAAATATGCATATATTAATGCTTTAATTTTTTTCCAGCTTAACAAACGTTTTCCCATTACCAATGAAACTATTAATTTAACGAATCCCACCCATCTATCACAAACTCTGGTTTCACCAATTTCCACACACTCTCATGTTGGTACACAAACTTCTCCTGAACCACTTCCAAATTCCCAAACTTTTTGTTCTACTTCAAACCAAAAACCATCTACTTCTGTCACTAACTCACAACCAAGAACACCAACGGTTGAAACCACAACGGACACGACATCCCCCAAAAGGTCAAGCAAGAGAAGTAATCAAAAAATAATCAGTCAATAGCAAACTATTTGTCCTATTTGTGACAGTGTATGGGTGCCCTGAGGACAATAGCGCAAAGTGGATTGGTTGTGACTTTAAGAAATCCCATTGCAATTATTGGGTGCATTGTGAATGCATCGGGATTAACGTCAGGAAAGTGGCCGATTTAAAAAAAACATCACCTGTCTATGCCCAGAGCATAACAAAATTGAAAGGTGTAAATAAAAAATTATATTATTATCATGATTTTTGTTATTTTTGTCCCAGAAAAAAAATCTTTCTTTACAAGTATTACTATGAAGAAAAAGAAATTTATTATTTTGCATTATACATGTACTTGTATACATAAAAAAAATTAAAAAATCCACAAGAATCGGATCCGTACTCGCATTCCCTTCACCCGTAGTCAGCGACGCTACCAACGGAGCTAAACCTGCACATGTGAAATGCAGAACAATTAAAAGTACATAATTGTACAAGAGATTGCTAACAATAAAAAAAAAAAATACTTATACGCCGCTATGTACATAACGGCATGTCATAATTAAATTCATTCTTACCATTTTATGGTTAAGTAATTAATGTGTCTTTGTTATATTACATTTATACTACTTCAAATTACCCAGTATCCTTCGCCATTAGTACTTGAGACACGTGCTTGACCATTTCTTACCGGTTCCAATTTGGGAAGATTTCTGCAGCTCCTCAGCCATGCATCATCTGTGGGTACACCTGGAGGCATCCACATTTTCACTTTTCTGTTTATATTCTCCAATACAAAGTCACCACCTTCACCTTTACTGTGATGACCGGAGGGAAGAATTACCTCATAAGCATTAAGATAAGTTACAATTTCTGGTGGGGCTTGTAGTCTCATCATTTCATCTCGTAGAATAAGTTCTTGATAGGAGGTGTTATTCATTGCATTAAAAAGCCTTCAAAATGAATCCCGGCTGTGTGTCATTGCTTGGCTGCTGTTTCTCCTAACAGCAGAACGATATATGAATAATGGAATGGTGAGTTCCAACACAATGCCGGACAGGAATTCGACATTGGGATTTTTATGTTGCTTCAGCCAAGCATGAAATGCAGAGATAGTGCACAAATGATGCTCAGGTGCCTTTGACAGTCAGAAACTATACAAAAGTTCGTCTGTGGAACCATATAGAAAAATAAGGAGCATTTCCCAAGACTTGTGGTGGTTGGTGGCTGACTTAGCCATATTGACCGCAGCTGGTGAAGAGAAGCCAAGCAACTTTGCAACATGTTGTAGATATGGCCACCATAGAAATTTAAAAATTGACCTCACACCATTTATCTCAATGTGTCCTGCTCCAGGTACAACCAATATATGCTTATAAAGTTGCTGACTGCCATCTACAACAACATCATCATTGGGGTGCTCAATACCACAGTGCTTACTCAAAGCCTGCAAGCCCTTTTTGACAATAACCTGACAAACTGGACATTGTACCATTTAGTAAGCATTCTGCTAAATAAATTGTAGGGAGAACCATTGCATCCGACACTAACCACTTTCTACTTATAAGTCACTGTCTGAACATATCTTATCCAGAACAGTTTGAAGACTATCATATGATGCAGGATTGACCATGGCTGGATCACCCAGACTAATTTTAGGTTGAATAATTGGAAGGCCAGAGGTTAAAAAATCATAAGGATTATCCCTTTTCTTAAAGGAACCACTGGAAAATGAATGTGTACATTCATCAATATTGTAACCGACCAAACCATTTCTACATGTCAAGCTGTTAAGAACTATTTCCAATCTGCTATCCAAGAATGTATCCACTAATGAAGACAATTCATGATGAAACTTGTTACTAGCTACATCCAAAGCCTGTGCCATATCATCGCCCAAATTACATACTTGTAACCAAGCGATTGGTGATAATTGGGGACAACATTGGATGTCACTGCTGGGGTCAATTATGTACATAATGTTTGTCATGACACTGCATTTTTGGTCTATGATTTATTGATACATGCCAGGATCTACCAATCACTTGGTTATTATTAAAAAAAATGTTAAAGACCCTTTTTAGGGGCTATGGGAGGTGGTTCCGTGCCAACCTTCAACCAGGAATGGTCCCTGGTATGGTGATCTCCCTTTAGTTACTGACGATCTCAAGCCCATTTTTATATTGTGATGTCAACTCAATCTTTCTTCTTTTAAATGTGCCTCGACTAGTTTTAAATCTAATCTGTGATATGCTAGTTATCGTACTGTCCTTCGATGACAGGTTTTTATACAGTTTAAATATATGCATTATTTATGACCGACTTCTCGTCACGATATGGCTGCAATATTGCCGATGTGACGTCAAATTTTAACTCACTCACTCACTCACTCAACCAGGAATGACAACAAGAGAACATTTCTACTTTTCAACCAGTCGTGAATGTTTAAATTGTCATAAAAATTTGAAGATTTATATTGGTCTCCAACCTCGTTTATGTCATCTTCTACTTGGGAATGGATGTAGCTGCCAAGGCAACGTGACAAAGCTGTGAGTTCATACTCCTTCAGTTTCTCTGTTTCAGGAATGGAGATTAATATTTCATTTGTATACTTCGCACAGGCAGTACACAGGTAGGTTGATCTTGGATGAAGGTACTTTAGTTCTTTAAGTTTTTCTTCTACTCTTTTGGGGATTTCTTGATTTAATTAGATACACTTGGAACTCTCGATTTTTAGAAAAGATTCCGTGTTCGCTGCAACTGCATTTTCTGCCCATGTACTTTTAAGATATAAAAATGTAACATTACAATAAATAGTATTAACATTTTTTATATTTTACGCTTGTTTTCTTTTATGGCTTAATCCAAGGCAACGTAAAAGCATATGTCCAAATTACGAACGCTTCTTTCATTTCTGCGACCAACCACGGTTTCAACGTGGCATGTATTGTCTACCATAGTTTTAGTGGGCGTTGGCTCACGATTTGGGTGTTACCTCCCTTGCCGGGACTGCAGGTGGCGTGGCAGAGTAGAAAGCATGGTGGAAGGAGAGAGGGGTTGACAAAGTACATTTCAGGTATTTTTTACTTTCAATGTTGTCTTTTTGACTGATTTATCGCACAGAATGTGTCCAAATGGCGGAGGGGTACTCGGGTTCACAATAACCTGCGCAACAAACGGGGTTATGTGTGATAAGAATCGATGAATGAAAGAAGTTTTCGTAATGAACATTGACATGTATTTTATACCAACCATCATGCGCCAAGTAGTACAGACAACGCACGGAAAAAATCGCATGTTTTTATAGACACACAGGACCAGTTTATTCTGTCAGTTAGGGGTATTGATACCAGTTGGGTTCATTGTCACCATTTGGGGGTTTTCCCCGACCTGTAGGACTAAACTTTGCAGTGCGTGGTGGGAAGGAACACCGCAGTCTGAGACTACACCCGAATCCACAGATTACAGGACCACATACTGACCAGAACGGGCGCAGATATTTGCAGTACACAGATGATGTTTCTAAAACCAATCCAGGATGGATCAAACATCGTAAAATGCAAAAGAAAAAGGTCCGCGCCTATGAAAATGTCGAACACCCAGAAAGATGCTACCTTCCACTGTTTGAAAAATACAAGTCTTTTTGGTAAGTTTTCGATTTATGCCAATTTATCATATTTGCTCATAACCACGGTATTAAGAACTACGTGTAGACTATTTGTGAATAATCAGAAAATGCATGTTACTATAATTAAAAACTCTATTATAAAACGTAAAGAGATCACCTAATATAATTCTAGATTCATTAATCATTCCCGGATCTACCACATTCATGTTGACACTATGTGCAGAACTACATGTATCGATGTATATTTCAGTCCACCCTCTTCAACACGAGCAAACGCTTTCTACTTCACTCCCTTGAAGAAGACGAAGTACGGAAAATGGTATCTCAATCGCCCATCGGACAATAGCATACAGACAACAGTGAAGCGGATCTGTGCTATGGCCGGAATTACAGGGAAGAATACCAATCATTCACTCCGGTCAACTGCTGCCGACCGGCTGTACGAAGCTAACATCAGTGAGCAGCAGATGTGTGAACAAACAGGTATGTAGTGGAAGATAAATGGTATGCATGTCGGATAAAACCATTATCCAGTCTGTGCTGTATAAAAAAATAGTATGGTAATGCTAACTGATGGTAAGAAATTAATGTCTAATTATGACACGAATCTTAATTCTCAGAAGTATGATATAATCAAATTACTGATTATGTTTTATGGCTGTCAAAAGTTTAAATACCGATACGATGACACTTGCATCTCCATTTGAATTAAATTAGAATTTGCTCTTGAACAAATTTATACCGAAATAATTAAAACTGAAATTTTCACTTCCAGGGCACAGGAGTGATGCAGTGAGGGTCTACAAACGGACGAGTGATGAACAAAAGGCAATGGCTTCAGATGTGTTGGCTTGCAAAGTTCCAAAGAGCGAAGAAAACTCCAATAAGAACGTTAACGTCGCATCGACTGTGTCTGTCCCGCCTTCTGAACCAGAGTCAAGCATAACGGAAAGTCGCGGAAATGTCACAATGACCTTTAATTTTCATTAAGTGTAAAACCTCGTTCCTGTGATTGGTACCTGTAGAAAGGATAATGAGTTACAACGGCAGTTATCAAAATTAGGTTTATAAAGAAAATGTAAATTTTAATTATAGTTCACGCATTTCTGCATGTTTGTTTTTAGGAAGCTTTTAGCAATATTCCAGGAATTTCGCGGCGGGGGACACACTAAATAGGCTTCGCAAATTGTACCCATGTCAGGAATGGGTCTTCGGCGTGACTAGCGAACGCTTTACTACTTGTCTACCTGATCGCCCCTATTTCAGCATGTATCATTATATTACTGTATGTACTAATATAACATGTGTGTTCAAATGAAATCAGCACATCCTGTTGTAAGAGGAGACTAACTTAATCAGGTGGTCAGGCTCGCTGACTTGTTTCATGCATGTCATCGTATCCCAATTGCGTGGATCGATAGTCAAGGTATCAATCACTGGTCCAGACTTGATTATTGACAGACTGACGTCAAATAAATGAAAAATTGCTGAGTGACTAGCATACCCACAACATGTCAGTGTAGTCTCTTTCTCACAATCACAAACACACCACACACGTTAGTTGCAAAATCATTGAAACACAATATAAAATACATTCATTTTTTAAAGGAAACAAGAGTTGTTGTTATCATGTTACATACATTGTTGACTGCAATAGCATTATTAATATTATCACGCTCATATTATATTTTATGAGTCATGACTTCCAGAACACACCTAGGGGACCCATTGAATTCCTGTATGGATTTATGTCTGGTCTGGCAACTTCTATCCGGACTAGGCACTCGTGAAGAGCAACCTCCTCGTGGTGAGTGCTGGGTAACGCTAATCGCTCTTCCCCCGTGTGGAACCGGGGTAGAATATTTCCACAGCTTCCCATTGCTGGTCGTAAGAGGCGACCAAAGTGGGCAGCCCGTTTGCCGTGGGTTGCGTCCCTGTGTCGGCGGAGGACGGGAGTCTGGTAGTTGAGGGCACTGGATCCAGGAACAGTGTTCCTTTGCCCAACACACTACTTCGACCCTTACTTCGCCTAGACGGGTGGTAAGATGGGCCCGGTCTTATCAATCGGCTGGTCACGCCAAGCCCTGTGCATAAAATTGTGTATGCACACACGTGATTTTTATAAATGTATTATTTTGACTTGGTTGTGTATAACATGCGTGAATTCTCAAACTATTAATGTAACAATTTGCCTAGAGTCTTATGCCTGAAGGCGGTGGCTCATGGGCCAATCTGGTGATCTTGACCTCCAAATTCGGTATGTGTCCAATTTCTTGTCATGGGCCGAGCCAGCCTGGCATTTAATTTGGTATACAAATATTGCTATTTGCGTCATATTTGCTGGAGTATACCATCCCTGTATCCCTGGTGTTTGCATCTTGGATATCCGTTGCACCATAACACCGTTCTTTGTAACACTCCGTGGTGGGTGGGGAGCAGGGGTGCTGAATTATTTTTTTTCATCATGTCTCACCAATACCCTGGTTCAAACCGATCAAAACGTAGACATGTGGATCTAGATGACACTGATCAAAATGATAAATTATCTCGTGGACTGGACTCCTGGGCACGATTTATTGTGATAGAGGCAGCTGATAAAGAACCCTTGAAGCTTAATCCTTTCGCTATTTCAAAAGCTGTTTCAGGAATATGCGGAGAGGTTAAAAATGTGACACGGCTTCGTAGTGGCGCTCTACTTGTTGAGTGTTCACGTAGACAGCAATCTCTGAATCTGCTATCTTTAACTACATTTGCTAATATTGAGGTTGCTGTCTCCGTGCACAAAACCTTGAATTCTTGCCGAGGCATTGTTCGAGACAGAGCTCGTTGCCTGTCGGACATGTCGGAGCAAGACATTACAGATGAATTGACAAGTCAAGGGGTAACTGCAGTTAAGCGCTTTACAATGAAATCTAGAGACGGTGGCACCATCCCGTCTAACACCTATATGCTAACTTTTGCACTGTCCACCCTACCTACATCTATTAAAGCTGGTTATCTTAACATCGGAGTGGAGGTGTATGTCCCCAATCCACTCCGATGTTTCAAGTGCCAAAAGTTTGGACACGGATCGAAATCTTGTGTTCACTCCGTCGTCTGTCAACGCTGTGGTGACGGCCACGAAAACACCGACTGTACAGCTGACATAAAATGCGTAAACTGCAAAGGTCAACATCTGGCTTCATCAAGATTATGTCCTGAATGGCAAAAGCAATCAAAAATCCTGAAACTCAAACATGAGAACAATATCTCGTTTTACGAAGCTAAGAAGCTTATTGAAAATCAATCTCCTCAAACTCCGCTGACCAGAACCTATTCTGCTGCTACAGCTATCTCTACTCCTTCAACTCCTCCCACAGTGTCAATTTCTATCCAGACTGATTTGACATGGATTACGTCAGATCAACCTGTTAGGATATCTTCTGTCATTACCTCAAATAGTTCTTCGACTCAAACAATAAGCTCATCTGAACCGTTGACTGATGAATCTGATGTTGAGTCTGGTCCTAAAGAGCCAGAGGCTGCAGAACCAGCTACTATCAAATCTGCCGTTCCTACTCTAACAAGAAAAGAAAGAAAAAAAATAAACAGAAAACAGACTAACATAAAATCCTCGTCTTCAGAGGTTCTTCTCCAAAACTCCTTTGGTGCTCTGGACATGGATGTAACCCCATCGTCCCAGAGCAATAGTAGGAGTCCTTCTTCCTCACGTGCCCGTGAGAGATCCCCCATAGAACCACCATGACACATTGTCCTAAATTAATTCAGTGGAATTGCAGAGGACTTAGGAATAATTTTAATGAAGTTCAATTATTAGCACAAGACTATAACCCATCAGCTTTTAGTTTACAAGAGACCTATCTTAAGCATACTGATAAATTTGAATTGCGTCAGTACAATTCTTATCATTCTTTTTCACCTCCAGGTGATAAAGCCACTGGCGGTGCTTCCATTTTGGTGAGGCAGGGCATCATCCACAGTCCTGTTCATCTCAAGTGTAACCTTCAGGCTGTTGCTGTCCGTCTTACTCTACAAATAACTTTAACACTTTGTTCCCTATATATTTCTCCATCCTCAAATTTGCAGCAGTCTGACCTTCAGGATTTATTTGACCAACTCCCTAAGCCCTGTATCATCATGGGTGATCTTAATGGGCATAACCCTCTATGGGGAAGTTCCACTTCAAATAATAAAGGGAAAATCCTTGAGGATTTTATTGCTAACAATAATCTTTGCATCTTCAACGACGGCTCGAACACATATTTACATCCTGCAACAGGTACGTACACTGCATTAGATCTGTCAATCACAGATTCTACCTTATATAATGATTTTGAGTGGTCAGTCCATGATGACCTTTGTGGCAGTGATCATTTTCCGACAGTGCTTACAGCTATAAACCCAACTGATGATCCACCTATAACAAGATGGAATTTTTCTAAGGCAAATTGGCCGTTATTTCAGAACATATGTACTGACAAATTGCAACATGAACTTTTTATGGATGTACCTGACCCGATTCAGTTGTTTTCCGATCAACTGAAAGGTATAGCTGATGAAACTATTCCTAAGTCCTCTGTGAACCCACATATTCGTAAACCATGGTTTACTTATGAATGCAAACAAGCTAGGAAGCGTAGGAAGAAGGCCGAGAAATACTTTCGACGCCATCCTACTGTTCATAATTTGAATACTGTAAAAATTACTTATGCCAAGGCTCGACGAACTTTTAAACTCCATAAACGACAGACCTGGAAGGATTATGTTTCCAAAATAAATTCTCACACGCCTATGTCAAAGGTGTGGAACATGATCCAAAAAATCAAAGGCAAAGGTTCCAAATCAAGTATTCATCATCTCAAAGATGACAATAATTTATTGACAGAAAAATCAGATATTGCAAACAAACTGGGTGAAACTTTAGCCAATCATTCTTCTTCGTCAAACTATAATCCAAAGTTTCAGAAGTATCAACAACAACAAGAAAGGAAAAAAGTCAATTTTATTTCTGACAATGGCGAAGATTATAACGAAGTATTTTCACTACATGAGCTACACACTGCTTTAGCTCAAGCTCATGATACTGCAACTGGTGCTGATGATATCCATTATCAGCTTCTAAAACACTTGCCTGAATCTTGTCTTACAACACTACTGAATATTTTTGATGATATTTGGACAATGGGACATTTTCCTCCTTCGTGGAGAAATGCCATCGTTGTACCCATACCAAAGCCTGGCAGGGATCATACAGATCCATCCAATTACCGACCTATTTCATTAACTAGCTGTGTTTGTAAAACCATGGAGCGCATGGTGAATAATCGCTTAGTTTGGTTTTTAGAAACCAACAATTTAATCAGTGATATCCAATGCGGTTTTCGTAAAAACCGAAGTACAATTGATCATTTGGTTCGTTTAGAATCATTCATTAAAAATGCTTTTATAAACAAACAACATGCTGTATCTATCTTTTTTGATCTTGAAAAAGCTTACGATACCACTTGGAAGCATGGTATTTTAAAAGATTTACATGACTTTGGTTTAAGAGGCCGCTTGCCTCAATTTGTATCACAGTTTTTAACTGACAGACAATTTCAAGTTCGTGTTGGATCAACCCTGTCTGATCATTATAATCAGGATCAGGGGGTTCCACAAGGCAGTATTTTGTCTGTGACCTTGTTTAGCATAAAAATAAATAGTTTATCTAAAGTATTACATGACTCAATCGATGGGTCATTGTTTGTGGATGATTTTAATATTTCATGTCGTGGTAAAAATATGCGTACAATTGAAAGACAGTTACAGTTGTGTCTTAATAAAATTCAGAAATGGTGTCTTGAGAATGGCTTTAAGTTCTCACAGACAAAGACAAATTGTATACATTTCTGTCGGAAATATAAAACCCATAACGACCCAGAGCTCTCTTTAGATGGTACTCCAATTAAGGTTGTAAAAGAGGCCAAATTTCTGGGATTGATTTTCGACCACCATTTGACGTTTTTGCCACATATTAAATATTTAAAGACTAAATGCCTGAAGGCCCTAGATTTGTTGAAAGTCGTCTCGAATTCTAAGTGGGGAGGGGATCAGACATCCCTCCTTCACTTATATAGATCATTAATCCGCTCTAAATTAGACTATGGCTCCATTGTGTATGCTGGAGCTTGCAAGAGTAATTTAAAACAGCTTGATTCAATCCACCATCAAGGACTTAGACTGTGCCTTGGTGCTTTTAGAACTTCTCCTGTTGACAGTCTCTATGTCGAGGCTGATGAACCCTCTTTGAAACTACGCCGTATTAAATTATCTCTTCAATATATCACAAAATTGCACTCTACCCTTCTAATCCTGCA